TCCAACCCTGATATTCTATGATTCTATGAAGTACTAGTGCCTTGTTTGGAATTATGCTGCATTGATTTTTCCAGTGTTGCTGCTTGCAACTTCACAATGTGCAGTATTGGTTGTAGTTAGCAATTTTTATTTTATAATATTCAACAGTCAGTCAGCAGGAACCCTAACATGTTTGTCTTTGATTCTAAGAGCTGGTTTCATTAACAAGTGTTTAATTCTAAATAGCTATGTGATCATGAGCAAGAATATACTTCTGCATTAAAATACACCATCTTGGGAAACCAGCCATTAGTTAATTGAAGCTTCTACATGAAAATCTGTTCTCTTCCATCTAATTCTGTGTGTATGATTTGAATTTACATGTATTGGATGGAGTGAAAATGTATTGATTTGCTGCCTGAATATGCTGAGGATATATTGATTTAAGAAGAATAAACTGGTAGATCCCTAGGGATTGTATTAATCTCTAAATATTTTTATACCTTATACCTCATCCACTCATCCAGTCCATACTTCAGCTTGCTGGCAAGAATACTGTGGGAAACTGTATCAAAAGCTTTGCTCAAGTCAAGATATATCATGGCCACTGCTTTTCCCATATCCACAAATCCAGTTATCTTATCTTACAGAAGGCAATCAGGTTGGTCAGGCATGATTTGCCCTTGGTGAATCCATATCGGCTATTCCTGATCCCCTTCCTCTCCTCCAAGTGCTTCAAAATGGATTCCTTGAGGACCTGCTCCATGATTTTTCCGGGAACTGAGGTGGGGCTGTAGTTCCTCAGATTCTCCTTCTTCCCTTTTTTAAAGATGGGCACTATATTTGCATTTTTCCAATCGTCTGAGACCTCCCCTGATTGCCACGAGTTTTTAAGGATAATGGCCAGTGGCTCTGCAATCATATCACCCAACTCCCTCATCACCGTTAGATGCATTGCATCTGGCCCCATGGACTTGTGCATATCCAGCTTTTCCTAATAGTCCTTAACCTGTTCTTTCACCACTCACCTCTTCCCCATACCATTCTGTCCAGTGCAGCAGTCTGGGAGCTGACCTTGTCTGTGAAGACCGAGGCAAAAAAAAAGCATTGAGTACTTCAGCTTTTTCCAGGTCTCTCACTAGGTTGCCTCCCCCATTCAGGAAGGTCAGGGAAAGTGTGGGACCCTTATTCTTGTTGCTAACATAGCTGTAGAAACCCTTCTTGTTACCCTTCACATCCCTTGCTAGCTGCAACTTCAGTTGTGCTTTGGCCTTCCTGATTACACCCCTGCATGCTGGAGCAATATCTTTATACTCCTCCCTAGTCATCTGTCCAAGTTTCCACTTCTTGTAAGTTTCCTTTTTGTGTTTAAGCTCACCGAAGATTTTACTGGTAAGCCAAGCTGGCCTCTGTCATATTTGCTATTCTTTCTGCACATCAGGATGGTTTGTTCCTGCGCCCTCAATAAGGCTTCTTTAAAATACAGCTCTCCTGGACTCCTTTCCCCCTCATATTAACCTCCAAATAACATAGTGCTGTAGATAGACATAGACAGTTATAAATAATGCTGTGTACAGCAGAGGTTAGGTCAGTATAACTGTATTGCTCAGAGGTGTGGACTTTTCACACCTCTGAGAGACATAATTGTACCAGTGTAAGTTTATAGTGTAGACCTGGCGGGAGAGACAAGGTGGGTGAGGTAATATCTTTTATTGCACCAATTTCAGTTGGTGAGAGAGACAAGATGGTCCAATAAAAGATATTACCTCACCAACCATGTCTCTCTAATATTATATAAATAGTCGTTGAAATTATTGATTGAAGCCAATGCTTTCCTGGAAAGATTTTAAAATCAATATTTTTATCACTTGACATTTTAGCCTCTGGCTGCCAGGTAAAGTAGCTACATATACTCTGTACTGAATCCATACTTATCCCAATGGCTGAGGGGGTGGGGAAGACATTCCCTTTAAAGAAAGTCCCCTAACCAATTATTCTGAGTGATGCAGGTTATGACCAGTTCCCCTGGAGACTGAATTATCTCTTTCCTCTGTTTCAGAGTCCCAAGGTCACTCTAATCAATTTAGGCAATGCATTTTAATTAAATTCATGCATATTGGATGGAGCAAAGCACCAGTAGCTACAGTATAATACTGTAACTTAACAAATTGCATTGCTGCTAATCAGACATTCTCCAAAATGGGTGCTGTACTTGATAAACTTTGGCAACTGCAGCAGAGTTGTGAAACTAGAATTGCCAGTTTTTTCCCTGTGGTTCAGTTTTGCCTATAAGAAGCCTTTACCGTTTGCATCTCAGTGTGAATTCTCCCTCTCCTCTACATAGATCAAACCAGAAGCAATGCTAGAAAGTTAACAAGAAACACAAACATTCTTCATGATCTCTGTGTGTATATAAAGTCTACTGCAGTTTCCACGGTATGCATCCGATGAAGTGAGCTGTAGCTCACGAAAGCTCATGCTCAAATAAATTGGTTAGTCTCTAAGGTGCCACAAGTACTCCTTTTCTTTTTATTCTAAATACAGTGCCCTTGAAAGTCAGAGTTTTAGGGACGTGCTTTTCCACTCTTTCCAGAGTTCTGTATATACAATGAAACCTTGCTATGTTGACTGGGCAGGTAATTGAGAAAGGTAATTGTCAAAGTTCTTGATACCCATGAGTCATTTAATAGCCACTAGTGCTGAGTATTGTAGAATGGTCTAATTTTCTAAATTTAACCTTGCATTACAATCTGCGCCTGTGTGGGACATAAAATAACAGATGTTCCTGCAACACCTTTAAGCATTTTAACATTTGAAAATTTATAGTCAGTGAAATAAAATTGACTAATGTAGGGGCAGTACAGTGTATTTGTGGTCAAATATATTTTAATACCGCTTCACGGGCTGAAGGGTAAAAAAGGCATCTCCAAAGAGCATATGGATTATGCATATTACCTGTTCCAAAGCATCTATGCCCTTGAAATGTATACAATGGATGTCTTAGAGGCCTCTGCTCAACCACTGAAGTTAATAGATCTGAACTGTTTAGAACAGGGACTATGACTCCTGTTCGAACAGTACCAGGCACATGCTGTTAGACTGCAGGTTCTTCAGGCATGCGTATTACGTATGTCCAGTGCTGAGCACACTTAGTGTGCCATACATAACCTTAATATTCTGGGACTACAAAGGTCTGAGACACTTTTGCAGACAGCTTAAGTGACTTACTGTACCTACAGTTTTTCAACAGGTATATTTGCACTTTATTCTTCCGTGGCAAAGCTCGACATTATCTTAGAACTCAAACACCTTAATTTAAAAAAAGACACCAATCTTCCCTGAGAGGAATCTCTAATTCCTGCTGTGTGTAGCAAGGGGTTGGGGGAAAGAGGGACTTCATTTACTTTTCTTAGGAGCAGCAATTGTTCTTATTTACAGTATTGATTATTTACAGTTCAGAGGTGGCTGTGTTGTGAAGACATAAAGATACCAACTCTATTCAGTTAAATGTACTAAACTCATGTTTCAGTTCTGATTGTGTGGGTTATCATGGATGTAATGCTGTGAAATTGAGATGGTTTACTTCCTCAGAAATGGAGGAAAGGAGTTTGCTAATAAGACACATAATAAAAGTCCTTACCCTTGACTGAACTTTTTTCTGTGTATTTCTGTGCCGTCTATGCAGTCTATTCTAGATTTGACTGACTGTTAGAAGCAATTGCTTGAACTCATTAGCTGGCATGGATCAGTTCAGTGGCTACTCTTGCCAAAATAATTTCAGTTAGAGGTAAGATTTGCTTAATTCTTAGGTAATACCTTAATGTTGGGTGAACCTTTCTTCTTCTTATCTTGTTGGGGGCCTCTTTCTCTTCTATTTTGAATGGTGAGTATTCTTCCTAAGGAGGATTGATGCTTCCCTATAGTATAGGAATTCTGGTGAAAGCTGGAATTCTCACTATCAGTGCACTTCACTTGTCCTCACAGCATCTAGCTGGAGATTCCAGTGGGGTGAAAAATTGAGGGCAGTTGTGTGTAAATATGTAGTGACCATGATTTAGAGCATCACTTTTACTTTCTCTGCTCTGGGCCATATTCTAACTAAAGCTGAATGAACCACTTAAATCTTCAGGGGAAAATTGAGTGGAGCTTTTGCCCATTCTGAGGTTTGAAAAGCTAATTAAGCTAATTGTAGACTTTCTTCACTTTACTTTCTCCTTCCAGCTTTTGTCTGGGATTATAAGAACAACAAAATGTCACTCTAGAGGGTATTTTGTCATTTCCAAATCTGCTGAAATGAAGTGTTAGAAATCTCTCAAGGCCTGTTATTGACAGCTTTCCAGACCGGAGGTTTTGGATATGAGGCAGAACATTTGGATATTTTAATCTAACCAAGCTGAAGTGGATTTTCGTAGGTTTACCAATGCCCTTCAATAATTTTAGTCTCCATTGTGCAGCATGCACACATGCAGATCATGCATAGTCCACTGCAGTGCTCATGTATGCAGGTGCATACATCAGATTAAGAGAAAACAGATTTTTGATGCTTTTTGACAGTGAGCATGTTATCTAATTATGGGGATAAAGATAAGTATGACCAGCCTAAAATAGTAAGTGTATACTATCATGCCTCTCTTTCTTCAGAGCTTCTGTTACTTAAGTGTTTATTTTTAAACATACGCATTTTGACCGAGCCCAGTTACCACCTTTTGTTAATATAAATGTTTCCTCTATACATATTCATACAAATATGGTAGTCTTTTCTTTAAATGAGAGCACAGAAAAGCTTTTAAATACAAGTGATAACGATAGATAGATGCCTGCATGAAGATGTTATTTACTTGTGAAGCATAACAAGCTGTTATGGAAGGTAGGGCCATTACATACATCTGTAAGAACTCATTTGTCACTACAAGTAAAGTCTTACTGAATCTAGTCTTCATTGCATGTGCTAGTTAGCAGAAGTGCTTCAAGTTAAATTCTCTGGCATCTGTTACATTGTTTTATTATACTTCTCTTCACAGGCTGAAGCAAGACTTGCAGCAAAGCGAGCCGCACGAGCTGAGGCACGGGAGATCCGAATGAAAGAACTTGAGAGGCAGCAGAAGGAGGTACGTTTGAAGTTTTCAGTGGGTGTTTTGATCCTCTCTACCTCCCTCAGAATAGGCTCCAAGGTCCTGGAATTACTAGTTAATCTTCTGTTAGCTGAAATACTAATAGCCCTAGTTGGGCCTCTGAAGGGTAAATGGTACCGGTACTAAGATTGTGGATAAAAATGGTCTGAAAATGTAGGGACTGTGCAGCAGCAGTGTATTTGTTCCTCATCAGCCAGTGTAATTATAACTGGAGAATATGTGACTGATTTGTAACTAGTGTTGGATATTTTTTGTTTATAATATAAACTTTGTTGCTTTTTTTTAGCAATTGGTTAGAAAACCATCTTGTAAGTATAGAGGAGACTCGTATCTCTGTGGTTTGTAGCTCTTGCAAAATTAGTACTGATGGGTCATTAGTTAATCATCCTTGCAGTAAAGTAAACCAAGCTGTACGACTGTGACATTGACCTTGTGTGGATTACACCTGTCTTTTTAAGAATGATGATAATCTCAGAGTAAGGTCACCATTGGCACAACCGCTGACTGTAGAAAACTGAGCTCATGAAAATGTCACTCTCCCCCCATGATAAATTGTTCCTCTTTACTACCAGCCAAGTCTCTCCTACACGTTACAAGATTGGCCTTTTCTCTACTGCCAGCCAAATGAAGTTGTACATGGGGGTATGTTAAAATAAAATCTCTAGTCTCCAATATGTTAACAATTTTACAGGCCTAGAGAGACTTGTTCTGCTCCTGTTGAATCTGACAGGTCAAGAGCTGTACTAAATATCAAACTCTCCCTCCCATATTGAGTAATTGAAATCAATATTTTCATCTTGGGGGAACAAAAGCTAGAAGAGGACTGACAGGGCACTATCCGGAACAAACATCTGGATCAGTTACTAGAATTTTCAAGATAGTGCTGTCCAGATAAGCTTATGCACCCTGTGTTTGCAGTAGGCACACACATGTAATGAACTAGGCAGATGTTCCTATGGGTGCTGTTATAAGAATTGATTCTTCTAACAAATACAAGAGGATAGGGATGTTAGGGATATAACAAAGGAAGATTGGGAAACAGCTGCTGGAGAGAGATCACTAGCTGAGCAGGATGTTGCTTGAAGAAGAGTCTTTTACGACTACAGTTGCTTCTTATGATTGAATGGAATGTTCTTTTGCAGCCTCAGCCAAAGCTGAAAGGTTTTCGTGGCTGGCACTGTATTTATATTGTAGAGCCCCCTGCAGTGCCTAAGTCATGAGTAATAGGATTTCCTAAACAGCATTAGAAGAATCCATGGTAAACAATTATGATGACACTGGTCAGATAGCAAATGCACATAGACATTTAAAGCAGCTGATAATGATATTACCTTCCAATTTCATAGTAATTACAAGGCAGTTGATGACCTCTTTTCTCTGTTAGACTAAAAACGGATACTACCAACAGCAATCTGGTAAATTGCAACTTAGCAGACTTCAGATAGCTGCTTATGTTTTGATAGCTATCTCTCAAGAGACTTTGCTCCATTTCCTTGTAGCTAATAAATGAAAACCTACTGAAATGAAACTTTTTGGAAAAACTTCGTACGGTATATAAAAGTCCTCTAAAAATCTTCCAAAATTGCCACAAGTGTAACTAAACATACACCTACTATATACTTTGTAATTCTCAGTGGGATAAAATGCATAGTAATATGTATGTTCTGCATGTTTATTTTATATCTTGCATGCTCAGTATTCAGAAAAACCTTTCAGATATCTCATTCCCAGCCTCATGAGAGGGCAGAGCTGGAGGGAGTGGCTACAGATGCAGTTTTTCATTGACAAGAGTGTCTTACAGATGTTAGAAGGTCAGAAGACATTGCTGTAGCATATATTAAGAAACCACCAGCCAGGAGCTTTCTTAGCTTTAAACCTTGGATGAGAACACTTCGTAACATCAGTAGTCAGAAGGGCATTTGACCTCTTTTATGAAGAGAAAGGAAAAAACCTAACCTGTCCCTGAGCTACATGCAGTAAAGCAGTAAAATTCACACCGCTGCCATGCTGAATAACTCTGACTCAAAACCACTCATTTTATTTACTGTAGAAAGTTTTGATGGAGGCATTTATAACAGTTAAGAACCAATCAATTAGTGAATATTTATGCACTTTCTCATGCTTAAAGCAGTGCACATGTCCTGAGAGATCTGCTTAAGCAGCATGGATCAGCTAAGAAAATATGTACATTTTTTGAGTCCTTAAGTTAAAACCTTCCAGATGTTCTCACTGCAAGCTAAGTAACTTTTTTTAGCCTTACAAAAATGACTGCATCACCTTCAGTCACAGGGAGGCAGTGTGGTTTGAATTGGACTGGAAAGTGATCCCCCTAGCTTTTATTCCTAATTCTTCCAACTAGCGCATAACATTAGTGAAGTCTCTCAACCTTTGCTTCATTGTTAAGTGGGGATATTTGCTTCACAGAGATAAAACTGAGATCTCTGTGTAACATACTTTAATATCAGTGTAGGAAATTTGCTGTATAAAAGCTTAGTATAAATATTATCTGTCTTAATCCTTAGTTTGAATTTTATTACATGCAGAATGAGCTATGCATTTTTATTACAAGAGCTGACTATTAAAACATATTGTGTAACCATGTTCTTCAGCCTACCCATATGTAGAGCCTGGAGCCAAAGCTGATTGGGAGAAATAAATGGTGGAGGGCCAAATTCGAACTTCTCTTTTGGCAGAATTTACTTGCATTCCATGGATACAATTGAGGGCAAAAATTGGTGTATAGCTACAAATTCCTTCTCTTTACCTAGAGGTTAAAAATATCCTTTTTTAGTACATTATTCCATCCGCAGTTTCTTTTCCTTTTAAAGGAATGTGTGAACCATAATAAATGTGTATATATATTGCACCTTACTTGGGGCTTGCTCATTGTTGCTTGTGTGGGTTAAGATCATTTGGCTCCATATACAACACTGTTTTATTTTGTAGCTCCTCCTGATGATTCCAGAATTTTCTGTGTGCAGTAATGATAAATTATTTACCAAGTTACTTTAGTGAGAATTACAAAATAATTCTGCTAGAAACCATTGTAACTGCACAACAGCCTACTGATTAATGTGCCAATGATTGTTTGCAGTAGAGTAGAATTAATGTTAAGAATTATGTAAACTGTCTTTTAAAAGCAGACCTGAGTTCAGCTCCCATTGACCCCTCCAGTGGGGCAATTTAACATTTAACATAGCAATTTAACAACTGTGGCAGACAGAAAAGAAAAAAGGGCAGAATCTCTCCACTTGGAGTGATGAGGCTAGAACAGGGTTTGGCTAATTTTGGGAGTAAAGTGAGAGGGCATGGCATGGCATGAGACAAGGGGAATGGACCAGCATGTTTTGGGGGAGGAGCAAGGTGGTTGTCTCATATGACAGGAAGTCAGGCATCTTTTAAAAAAAAAAAATCCCTGGAAAATGTAACAGGGCTTCAAGCTGGGTCAGGCTGGACACAAGAACCAGGGTCTGTGATATGCTGATATTCAAGAAGACTGAGTCAAAAAAAAAAATAGCAAATGAGTTTTTCTGTTGTTTTTGGGGAAAAATACAAGTTGCTTTTAGCCTTTGGAGAAGCAATTAGTAAAGTTAATCAAAGAGAAATCTCTATTGTGATAATGAGCAATTGAACAAAGCTCTGTCCGGGAAGCTGGGAGCACAGTGGCACCAGAAGAGTTGTATGGATTCTTAGCAGCAGAGAATGGAGATACCCTAGAAGGAATTTACCAATTACAGCTGGTGCCAGCTAGTAATCCAGGTTTAGGGAGTGAAGAGGGGGATAAAGAAAGAAAGCCAGGCAATTGGAGGAGAACATGTCTAGAACATTAAGAATGGGGTGTCCACAAGGACTGAAGAAACAAGAAGTTGACTGGAACTCTGAGAGAAATGCCAGCACAATGTAAAACAGAACCAATATGAACTGGAAATGTAGAGATTGCATAGTCAGTGTCTGAACAGCTCGATAAACCGCACATCCGTGCCATATGGAACACAGACCACAAATTGTTCCTTAAATATAAGGACAATTTAGACATTTGCTTGATAAACTTTTGAAAGGGAATGCACACATGAAAGGATGGCTAATGGGAATAAAACAATTCTATAAATGGTGCATCTTAGACATGAACTCTGACCATCACCAACCCAAAAATACGAGGCCAGGATGTCTAATTAGCTGAGCACTGGGTAAGCCACCAACCAGAGGCAGAGAGAATGGACAAAGTGATGGAGCAGGGCATGATCCAGCCAAACTGCAGATTTTTGATGTACCAGAGAGCAGCAATATTTTAACAAGGGAAGGGTGTGTGTGTGTGTGTGTGTGTGTGTGTGTGAAATTACATGTATCATGAGTTTAAAGTATGATAGTTCTATAATCTCGAAAGGTTAGGATCAAATCCATTTGGAGCACTCTGCTTCTATGATGTATGATGTATCCTCTCATTTGGGGTGAGGAAATCAGAAACTGAACCCATTCGTACAGTATGTAAGAACATAAGAGCTGCCTAGGTCAGACCATGGTCCATCTTGCCCAGTATTCTGTCTCCTGGAGTGCTCTGTATCAGAGCTTCAGGGAGAGTGTACAGAATCGGGCAGTTATGGAATGATCCGCTCCTGTCTTCCATTCCCAGCTTCTGGTGGTCAGAGGTGTCAGACTGCTATGAGCATACTGTTGTGACCCTGATCATCTTGGCTAATAGCCATTGATGGACCTATCCGCAAATAACTTAAGCCAATTCTTTTTTGAATCCAGTTGTACTTTTTGCCACCACAACGTCCCATGGCAGTGAGCTCTACAGGTTGGTTGTGCATTGTGTGTAATATACAATGCTTATGGTACTAAATTCATTGCACACACACTTTTAGGTATGTCTTGCTTGTAACCTCATGGACGATTTACATCCTAGTGGAAAAGGGAGGTACAGATAACTGAAAAATGTTTTGGGGATGGCATGATTTGGGAATGGGCCTGGCATA